TATATATATATATATTGAAACAAAAACCTGATACCACAAAACAGGAATATTGATTTAAATAAACATATTTTTATGTTCTATTTTTTTATAAATATCCGGACCTAGGCTGCCTTTCGGCCAACGCATCATCAGGGACCAATCGTTGGCAACTTATATATATATATATATATATATATATATATATATATATATACATACATACATATATATATATGTGTGTGTGTGTGTGTGTGTAAAAAATTTGGGTAAATATTTTTAAAATAATCGCTCATTTTTTTTTTTTTTTTTCTAGTCACGAGAAAGGCCATCTTGGGAAAAATATAGATAATCTCATTATTTTAAAAAAAACACAAATACATACACGCAATTCACTTTTTCGGCTTCGATCTGTGAAACCCATGTTGACCATGTTCGCCAAGTCTAAGAATATAGAATATAGCGAAGTACATAATCTGTTCAATAAAACAACGTTAAAGATTAATACTCACGAGACAGACACTCTACTGAATCTGAGGATATCGCCAATACACCAGCAGCTGTTCCGTAATTCTTCAGTCTTCGATATCAGAGGTTGGCAGTGAATATTCGGAAAAAAAAAAATTGAAAGAAACTTTATACATTAATTACTGAATTAAACCATTCAGAAAAAAGAAAGTCTCTTTTGGACAAAAGTGAGCTAGTAAATTAATTTTTAAAAAGGTACGCTACTGTCAATTTTTTGGCGATATATATATATATATATATATATATATATATATATATATATATATATATCGTGTATTTAGGTAGCAATCACTCTTTCATACATGTTTCATTAAAGCCGACAGACAAGGTACTGCGATTAAACACTTTATTTAATTTTTCTTGTGTTCGCACAAGTGTTTTCTTTTCTGGACACAGAGTGTGCAGAAACTGTTCAAATGATCTATAATTCCGAACGCTTTTGGCTATACTTTTAGCCATTATCAAGGATGATTTTATTTTTAATTTTTAACTGGATGTATGGGCTGAGCGTATGTATTTAGAATTATAGAGTGTTTTATTTTCTGAACACAGTCAGCACATTGTAGCCGTGTTCATAGTAAATATTATTGAATGTTGGATATTTCTTTTTTATTATTAAAACTTCCATTTTTTAAAAATCTTTTTTTACATGTGGATGAGGTTATTATGTTTGTGGTTTTTACTGGTATGTTTTGGATGGTGTCTGCTAAGTTTGTGAAACTCGTGTTACAGCTAGAGCCATCCTTTCATAGGATTTAACGTTGATAAGCGTTTTTCCTCGGTTTAGGCAATCTGCTGAGTAGATAGGTTTGCCTTTAGGCCGTTTTTTTCTCTTTCTTTCTTCAGTATTGTCGTTTTTATCCGAGATTGTATCTGGATAAGAGTTCAGGTTTTGGCAGGTTTTCCGTTGGTTCCATCGACGGTTTTTGCTTTTCTGTATATATATATATATATATATATATATATATATATATATTGAAACAAAGACCTGATACCACAAAACAGGAATATTGATTTAAATAAACATATTTTTATGTTCATTTTTTATAAATATCCGGACCTAGGCTGCCTTTTCGGCCAACGCATCATCAGGGACCAATCGTTGGCAACTTATATATATATATATATATATATATATATATATATAGTCGGGTTTCGATCCCAGTATGAAGCAATCGTTCGTCTAGCCACACTGAGGAAGTGTGATACTGCGAAACAGTCTGTCTATGGATATATATACATATATATATATATATATATATATATATATATATATATATATATATATAGTACAAAAATTATGGCACAAGGCTGAAGGTGGAATGACGACCCTTTCCTTCATTAGAATTTGCCCATTCACCACAAGAACTCATCCATCGCCACTCTCTCCTGCATATACCATAATACCGCATATTCAGAGGGGATCTACCGACGTCCCATGGTGTAAAAATTTCATTCCATTGTCCATAAAGTTCATTTATATGAAAATTTCAATGTTAACCTTGGTTTATATATATATATATATATATATATATATATATATATATATATATATATATATATCACTAAGGATAACATTAAAATGTTTATATAAAGGAAATATGAGAAACGAAATATGACGTCACCTTCTAAATATTCTTGGAAATTGAAAAGAAAAACAAAACACCTAAAGTTAAATGGAAAAGTCTCAAACAAGACAGAACCTGCAGATCCTTGAAAGAGCGTGTTTCCTTTGTCTACGGGAGAAAATGCAGGCAATTAAACTCTTGAATAGTGATCAGTTATTCAATCAGTGACTTGAAACTACGATGAATTGCAGGCATATTAAGGAATTAACCTTATAATCTTGCTAAACTTTATAACTCAATAATCACTCTTCTTATGTTATATTACTTTTATATAAAGATTTTAATTTTATCCTTAGTGGTTTATTCTAGATTAAGCTATTAAATATGTTAGTATTCGTAAATTACTAGTTGTAAGGTTGGCTGTGAATAGGCTTATAATTATTTTACTGGTGATGTTGTTTGATAATAGTTTTTAATTTAAAATAAATATATAAAAGTCATATACATATTTAAAAGTTATTTTGTATTCTAATTTATAATGTAAGGTTGGTTCCATCGACGGTTTTTGCTTTTCTGTAATATATATATATATATATATATATATATATATATATATATTGAAACAAAGACCTGATACCACAAAACAGGAATATTGATTTAAATAAACATATTTTTATGTTCATTTTTTTATAAATATCCGGACCTAGGCTGACTAGTAGAGTAAAGTAGTTTCGTTTGTATCTGGGTTTTGCTTCTTAAAGTGTCTTTTATTTACGTACTATGTTTAATTTTGTTTAAACATGTGATTTCATTCAAAATGCCATAAAGTTTGAAATGCTACAATGTATCTAAAATATATTCTATCTTATCACGTTATATTTTCGTTTAATTTTGAATTCTCCATCTTCACGTGTCTTCATTGGCTAAACTGGTATCAACAACATCTCCTGTCTTATTTTCTTTCCTTTGCCTTTGTATCTGTAGAATTTGGATATACCCCCCCCTTTTCCCCCTTTTTCTTTGCTTTTCCCTTCTCTCTGTGGTGAGGTTGATCTCGTATGCTTTCATATGCCTTTTTTTCTTTCCTTTTTCTATTTCTTTTTATTGATTTCCTATTTCTTCTTTTTTTTACTTTAACCTGCTTTTTTTTCTTTTGCTTTTCATGGAAATTTTCTTATATATTTGATTCTATGGAAAAATGTTAAAAATGTAAAAGAAGTGATGTTTCATAAGTTGTATTTTTAAATAAAATCATTTACACCACCATCGTTAACCACCACATGAGGTGCCTAAATTAGACATCGAAACAAATATACATTTATGTCGTGCTAACTTATGTCATCTAAACTAGGTACCATCTAAGACTAGCTACCATGGAAGACTAGCAATCTAAGATTAGACATCTAACACTAGCCATTTAACATATGCCATCTAAGACTCGTTGCTATCTAATTAGCCATATAAGACTAGCCATCTAATATATGCCATCTAAGACTAGTTGCTATATAATACTAGCCATATAAGACTAGCCATCTAACATATGCCATGTAAGACTAGTTACTATCTAATACTAGCCGTATAAGACTAACCATCTAACATATGCCATCTAAGACTAGTTGTTGTCTAATTAGCCATATAAGACTAGCCATCTAACATATGCCATGTAAGACTAACTGCCATCTAAGACAACCTGCCATCTAATACTAGTAATCTTAGACTAGCCATCTAACGTATACTATCGAAGACTAGCTAACATAAAAAATATAGATTACAATTTAACAAACTATTTAACCTATAGCTAAGGAACAAATGCATTCATCTATTTTCAAATGGCTTTAGTGCGACATGATTGCAACGGACTGGACCGGAGTTTGAACTCGCTTCCTCCTTTCTGTGCCAATAACCACTACGTTGTCTACACGCTACAAGCCTACCGATATTCTATAGCGATTTTCATAGCAAATGTTCAGATAGGCTTCATTCTTAGTTCAACCAGTTCAGATTTTGGCAGCTAGAACACGTAATGCTATATCTGCCTTTATTCTTCTGTATTTCAGAAATGGGAAGAAAGTTCCACATGTTATTTTATGGAACAGAATCCCGCGTGGATGTTTCCCGGAACACAACAATCTTAATCTTTTCAGATCAAAGATCATTATATATCCTCTTTATTCAGGTAATATTCACTTCATGACGCTTATATTCACGACACGTGCCTCATTTATCATTGGCCATTTTAACAGAAACCATCTAACTCAACTTTTATTGGCTGAACTTTGGTATAAAAATATCCCTTGCTTCAAACTAAAGAAAGCATGATGATCGAGGACCGGCTTAACGAGAAATATTGGTTCTCTGGCGAGTTACATAGACCACAACTACTGAAGCGAGTTTCAATCAGATTTAAGATCTTGCGCCAGAATATACAGGGTGGTCCAAAAGTAGGTGGACTGTATGTGGAATGGGTTCATGTATCGGTTATATTATTACAACTGTGTTCATTATAACTATGTTATTTGTGCATTGTCCGAAGAGATACAACTGATTGGCCGGCACGTTCACCAGACTTGACCCCAATGGATTTCTTCTTATTGGGGAGTACTCAAGGTCAAAGTTTATAGTCGAAAACCAAGAAGTGTCGGTGATTTGAAAAATTACATAATAGATGCATTTCAAGAAATTAATACCCAAAAAGATGTGCAAAAAAGTTTGTTGAAGCGTTAGAAGTAGACTTCAAAGCCGTGTAAATTGTGATGGAAAACAGTTTAAGCACCTGCGTTGATAAAATTGAAGGCTATTGTATTATTGTTCACAATAAAATTTAATTGTCAATGTCATAGTTGTGTTAGTAAATATAATTGTATGTATATGTAATCTCAAAATGAATGTAATTATTTATTGTCCATCCACTTTTGAACCACCCTGTAC